TTTATCCCATTCGTATATGTCAACTATATTTGAATGTATTGGTTATGACACTTTAGTATAAAAGTAAACTCCATACTATTGTGTGTGTAGGAAATCAGAACTTATTTCCATCTATGGAAAAATGAAAACTCATAAAATGATGAGAAAAATGAGCAAAACATCCATAATTTGATTGATTAAATTGGCAATACTCGTGTATTGCACATGTTCTATGCTTTGGTAAAAATTTCAAGAATTCTCAAGCCAAAGCCGCGATCGGAAAAAAAGAAGAAGTTTTACCTCCAAAATTGGGTCTCAATCGAATGTCATATCCTCCAAGCATTTGTGTTAAGGTCTTTGTAATATTTTCCAATTGTGCAGCAGTGTAAGTTCGGTGATCGCATCTGATGAACGTGTAGAGGAAACGTGAAAATTGTCTTCATTTTGCGGTGGAATTGAAGAGATTGCATACCTGGCAATGTTGACCATTTGAAGGAATAAAACCACATAAAATATGATGCAAAAGTCCATTTTCCAAGGGAGCATTGTGCGTTTGATTACGTCATCAAGGGCCTATTATTGCATTTACTGACTGAACATTGAAGCGTTGTTGTTCTGCAGTTTTGAGATCCTTGGCGACATTTTTGAAATGAATTTCGACTTTGTCATCAATATATGAACACATTAGCTGGTTTTACGATCCACTCTCTCCCACTTTCCTTTTCTCTCCCTCTCTTATTCAAGAAACAGATTGACATTCACCACGGCTTTTTTTCTATTTCTACATTGGCAACAACACCGTCGGTGATGCTGCTGCTCTAAGTCGATTGTCCTTGTCCATTTTCCTCTTTTTCTCATAATTTTCCATTTATAATTCTCAGCGTCGTCTTCATTATCGTCATTATTCTATGGATTATCCTTCGATTTTAACACTTCAGTATACAAGTTTGATTTTACAGTTTTAATTTGTAATTAAACATCATTCGTTCGAAAAATACTTCGTCATAAATAGTCGTAGGACTTTTTTAGTGTGATCACTAAATTTTTTTTGGGGAGCGTTTTTTCAATAACAATTCTTTTGTTGTTCATTACCAAGTTTTCCTCTTTAATTGTTTCTACATTTTAAGCCTATTTTACTCACAATTTAAGCATACACAAATTTCTCACTCATTTTATGTTTTGACATTTTAGTTTGATATTTTGAAATGAAGCTAAACATTATTTATTTGTTGTTTAATATAAAACATGAATTAAGATCACTCAAAAAACCAGAATTTCATATCAGGACAAAATCCGCACTTATCAGTTCTGCAAAAATAAAAAAAACATTGTTTTGAAAACATATTCAATTTCTCTCGTGACGCATATTATGACGGAAATGGAAAAGAAATTAGATCGAAAGAAAACAATCGTCGGGATTAGGACCAATATGAAAGGAATTATTTGATATGACAGGCGTCTTATTACGAAGCCTTTTAATTCAATCAATAAAAAATCGTTGTTGATGATGATTTGTTCCATTTTGATTTCCATGAACCCTGGATAGTGTTCAGTAGCAGCGCGCGACTGACACAAAAACAGTATGTTTGACACACACACACACCCATATTCACAAAGAACAGATCCAAGGCATGAGTACTCTTCTAATCCGCATATTACATTCCGTTTATGCTCTATTGTTAAGCATACTCTCGTTCTCAAGATGATTCCCATACGGCACGACCGTGGATAAGCTTTCAACTCTCAATGCCCTTCTCTTCGTCTCTCGTGCGCCTATGGGATATTCCTTCTTCATCTGCATGTCGTTTGTCATGTGACACATTGCGAGTGAGTGAGAGAGTATGAAAAAAAAACATATTATTGTCGTTGGCTAGCAAACATGGGCTGCTGAATGTGTGTTTATTGGATTCAATGCGAATTTTATTACACTTTGATCGCGTCATCAGTCAAAGCACTTTTCAAATATTGCGTACTGTTTACTTCGTTACCATATTGAAATGTTCGGTTCAAAATAGCATCACGAATCCCACGGACGGGACGGGACGAGGATAGGAAAATAAAGCGAAGGCGTTCAAAAAAAATTATAGCATTTGGTTAATGGGGCTTCGACAATGATGACGCAAAATGTGTTAATGTGACTGCCATTAGCACATGTAGACGCACACAAGCACGCACATACACCAAGTTGTATGTGAATATCAAATTTTCAATCTTCCGCCAAAAAAAAACCTCAATCGGAACAATGAAAAGGTTGAGACTTCCAATTTTTTCATCCAATTTTAGGATGAATAATTTTTTTCTCGCTCGTTTCAAGCTTCGGAGTCACCAGGCAAAGTATTGCTCTTGAAATGAAACATGTGCGGAGACCGCCACATATGCGGATGCTTCAATTTGAATATTCATTAAGGACAATGATGAGGATGGCACAAATGTTAAATCATTCGCGTTCGCAAATAAAACATGGAACGAAACGCCGTTCAAAATTGTGAAATTTCCATTTTCAAGCCCTCTTTCTCTCGTTAGCTTTGGGTTTATTTGGAAGTTTCTTGCGAAAAATGGATGGGAAGCCTGAAAAAGCTCTTTTTAAGAGTTTTCCACCGCAAACAGGGAGAGAGAGAGACTTAAGTGGTTGTTGTTCACAAAATTCCGGCATCTTAATTCATCCTTTTGATTCATTAGTTTTGATAAAGTTTTAGTAAACTGAACAACAAATATTCTCCGTAAAAAGAAAAGCAAGTTTCAAACCACTTTCCACGTTCTGTCTGTCAATTGCAATTGAAACATGGATTGACACGAAAATTGCAGCAAATTTGCGCCGTTATTTCACATTATTTCAATTCAAAATTAATGAGCAAAAGACACTTGCTTAAGTAGCCTGAAATAATGGAATAGTTTGCGTTGAAATATAAAAATAACTTCCGTAGTTTCTTGGAATTTCACCCATGTTTCGCACAAATTTTACGCGCAGCACTCAAAAGCAATTTTATTTTAAAAGTTTGAAAATTTTTCACCAAGTGAGTGGAAAAGCCTTTTTTTCAACGTGTATGAATCTATTCCCAATGTCGCAATACTTCACATCAAAAGAAAAGGCACTTGAAATCGAGGACAGAAGAAAAAGAAAAACCACTTGAAATTTCAAATGTTAACGTCTTTTCACACAGGAGAAAAAAAAACAATCACTTTCTATTTACCATACGCTTTTTTCCCACTTTTTCCCGTTTTTTCACAATTTTTTTCTACTACTGGTCACCGTTTTCCACACCACAAAGAGAATTCACAAAAGCACCAAGCGGATTAGGTTAGTCACAAACCGTTTCTGTTTTTAGTAATAAAAACAAATGCTGGTGGCCGTTTATGGCGTACACGATGATTTCATTGAAATGAACAGTTCCACCGCAATCGCCATACTCAACACAATATTGTCTAGTTGACGACAAAATAGCAACTAACTAGCACCACCAATGAGTTTTTTTGCACATCGTCATCGTTGTCGTCCTCTTCTTCGTCTTCATCAAGTGTGGACACACAAGAGCTGTGATAGCAGCAGCAGCAGCAGCAGATTCACAACTCTATCCATTTGATCAGTAGCGCTAACAGCCAAATAATTTCAGTAATCATAAGAAGACATACGAGGTCCGCTTTGTTCTCTCTGTTTCGCTCCTTCGCCACAGAAGATTCTCTCACTCATTCACTCGCTCGTTCGTTCGCTCACAGTGTGTGATAATGCGCTCGTTCGCTAGGTTTTGAGTGAGTGTGCTTTCCAACGAGAAACATCCGAATCGAGACCACCAAACAGAAAAATAACATTCGTTGCTGCTATTCTGGCTTATGTGCATGGATGTGTGTGCGTTGGCATGCGCGCATTCAAACGTTTAACCGAATATAACGACATTCTATGCCATCCGTTTCCATATTATAGCACTCCGATTTGATGGTGATGGAGAGAAAATCGGTGCTGCTTCAAAATCACCGATACATGAAAAGGAAAACGTTTCGATCCTTCATTTAACGGCTTTCTTCTTATTCAAGCAGATCAAATGGATGATTTAAGATTTTTTTATGGTTTATTTGGCAGATGATGTCCTTAAAAATTGCGGCTAATTATTCATCATCATCGATAGGGAATCGTTGCTGGGGAGAAAATTTGACGAAATTTAAAACTTGATAATTCGATTTTTGCAGCGCAAAAAAAGTCGCGTCTCGAGCGGCAACAAAAACAAGAGCGAACCAAACTATAAATAGGACTTCAATGACTTTGAAATTTTATTTCACACGACAATCAAGAAATGATTCGAAGACCGAAATTATCTGAAATCCAAGTGAAGTCGGATTCCAAGCGTCAAACCGACGGTTAAACATTGTTGAAATTATTTTTTTTTTTCATCCTCCATTGGAACAGAAAAAAATGATTGTTTGCTTTGTACACATAAAAGTTCAAATTGTCTGCAAATGATCATACAAAAAGCACATTTGATGAAAAAAGTTCTGAAATCGTTCCATTGTAACAATTTGTATTTTTGAGCGTTTTTTTTTGCTCGCGCCAAGAGATAGCGAAACTGAATGATGAAAATATTTCTGACGCGATGGATAAAAAAGAGTGGTGCGTTTGCATTGTATCGTCACTTTCATTTTCACTGTTCGTATTTATTCAAATGATGAGAATCAATTTTTCTCGCTATGATCCCATTTCACTTTCTCGATGCTGTGTGCCATAGGAAAAACATCTGATTTGAGGGTGGCAAACATTTGAGTGGAGCACGTCAGCACAACGAAAACGTGACGAAAGCATAAATTGATGGTCGGCAACATGTACATAGATCATGTTGCATAGAAATATTTCTAGAGATGGAAAATCTACGTGTTTGTAAATGTTCTGCCTAAAACTAAAAGCAGCTTGTGGAATTTCAAGTATTTGTGAGCTTTAGAATAATATGTTTCGAGGAGAGGATAGACAGTTTCTTGGAGAAAACACTATATTTTTGGGTCTATTTCCGATACAAAAACGACGTATATCACATCGTTAGCAAATATGACTCTGAAGTATGTGCAAAAGATGAAATCCGTTTTCGCACTCTCTGTGCCTTTAAAACGATTTCGGTTTGTTTATATTACGAGTTCGATTGAAGGGAAATTGTGTGTGACGTGTTCGCTCGTACGCAAAAAGATAAACAAACGATTTAGGGTGTAAATCAAGGCAAACGGTAGAGTTTTCTACGTAGTTAAACATTCTTTACACCTCGAAGACGTCGACAATCGATATTCACGGCAGCCGTTAGCAATGACACCGATTTGTCGCACACATTTTGTTTATTTGTTTGCCAAAAATTAAGGCAATTCAGTGCGCTTGGATAAATACAGATACAACACGGATCGGCTTTGATTCACTTTCGACAAATGCAGCCTAACGAATGAAGGACATTGAGAGCGGGCGAGCAAGCGAGCAAGCGAGAGAGAAAGCGGGAAAAAATGAGCATTATGAAGAGAAAAACACCCGTTCTCGCGCTATTCATCTTGGTATCGTGACAGCTCAGCGCAATTTTTCTTCTCAGCCAACTGATTGAAACATTGTAAAATGTGAATTAAATAGACAAACGAACCATGCTGTAAATCAAATTGAGCTGTTTACGAAATACGAAATGAATGAATGAATCTAATTTTCATATTTACTCAACTTTCATTGTCCTTCTTTTTCTCTCTGGCGTGCATTCACACACAAACATACACACTATTTGTTAGGTATATTCCGTGACCTCTTCGCAGCTTAATTTGTATGCTTGTAATTATTGCAGGCGAGAGTGGGTGTGATGAAGAGGAAGCATCGGGCGAAAGCCAGTCCACGAATGTCACTGGTTTTTTCCCTTTCTCTCGCTCATATTTTCGTTGTTGTTGATTTTGTTTTGTTTTGGCATGAAGTGAAAAATTAGCAGCGAAACGCGTTACGCATCTCGATGATAAGAGAGAGATAGAGAGAGAGAGAGAGAGAGAGAGAGAGAGAGAGAGAAAATGGAGCGCTGTTTTTTTTCAACGGAAAGGCTCAGATGCATCATCCGCACGCGTTTAATTTTTCAAATGGAAAAACTAGAATAATAGAAAAATGTCGTTCCTGTTTCAACAGGCTGAAATATAACAAAAACACTTCTCACACACACACACACACACACTCCCGCACAAAAACTGAAACAACAATATGGTCAACGTCGGTATAAAGTATTCGAGACGTTGTATTTTGCGAAAGAAAAATAAAATTCTCCGCCTTCAGTCGGTGGCTTGGTTGCTCAGCCACACTCACACACAAATCGGCCACGAACGTTAAAGTTATCGCTCTCAATTTTTGCCGTCGCTAAATGATAATAGCGACAAACAAAGCGCTTTTGTGAATAAAATACCGGGATAATTGTCTTTTATTTTCTCATCTTTCGCCTTCATCATCTCTCATCATCGTTCGTTTTTTTCCATCTCCCTCCCTCTAGTTTTCGTCCTTTTTCTCTTCTAGACTCATAACGATTTTTTTTTGTTTTAAACAGAGATCGAAAGCAAAATGGTGATATTACCCAGGTTTCTTAAAATATAGAGCTCCGGTTGTTTTTTTTGCGGCTGGTGCTACTGCTGTGGCTGCTTCATGTTTAGTTTCGCACTAAGCGTTCTTCTTATTGCGTGCAATATTTTAGCGTTGTGTGGTCGCTCTCAACATTGTCGAACACACAGGATGAAACCAACAAAAGAATCAAATCGCAATTAAATTTTCCTCTGTGCACCGGACACAATTAAAAAATCGCAGTCAGCATAAACTAGTTTTTTTCCCTCTTTTCCTTTGTTTTTATTTTTTATTTTCTCCGCCTCTTGAGCTGAAGCTTCATTGCAATGGCCTGACCTCAAAACAAACTTAATCCGATTGTACGTATTCATTTCCAACACAATTGAATTTATAAATCCATCGGATAAAACAACAGCACAAATACACAAACAGCAAATTATCTTAAGAATTATTTGATTCGCCAATAATCTGCAACAATAATCTGTACGATGAATCGCACGATGGAGGATGGACACAACAAGAGAGTGTGAATGTCAAATTATACGTTGACTTGGTGCATTATGCAAAACATTTCGAAAATGAATGCAAATGGATCCATAACGTGATCGAGGAGTAGAGAATTTGAAGAGTGGAATTATTGCAAAACCAAAATAGCGAAGGGACACATTTGCATCGAACTAAGAGCTAAAGCGAAAGTCGCCGAGCCATTCGAAATATGAATAAGATGGGAATGATTATGCGAAACCTCCAACTTGTTCCTTTTCAAATCATCTCGTTTTTTTCCGCTCTTTCTCCATTCATTGGCATAAGGAATGCATTTTTTGCCACTAAAAATAAAAACTCCGTCGTTCATTCGTCTTTATCATCGTCACTGTCATCACACTGTGACACGCTCCGCTCTTGAAATCTTCTTTTCTTTTCTCTCGCCCGACTCTATCGTCGGGGTGGAATTTTTTTTTCAGCTGCAAGCCCGGATTTACAAGTCTTTCGACTTGGTTCGAGGTTTCGGTTTTCGATTTAAAATTGGGTTTCCATCGCAGAACGAATTATCAAACTAAATGAATGTCGTTTGCGTGTTCCTATTGTGCCGCAATCCAATACGACAACGACCAACGAAAGAAGAGAGAAAAAAAGTGCAGACTAACTCATTGAAATTGAAATCTGTTGTGACCGTGCAGAAAAAACAAGTTTGACGCATATCAAATGTCTGTAGCGCATCGCTATTTCTTTGGCACTTCTTTCCTGCATCTAAGAAGCTATGTGACGATGTAATTTACACACACACACAAACAAACAAATTTTAAATTGGATTTTCATAACTGCACTTTTATTTGCATGGAAAGTAGCCATCACATTTCTTTGAAGGGTTGAAGGGGATTGCAATATGTCCGTTGGATAATTATTATGGTAATCTGATCAAAACCATGGGATTCATCATGTAAAAATGACAGAAAAGTGGTACATTACATCGTTTTTAGTTGAGTCCTTAGTGACTATCTTATCTTCAGACTGTAATTAATTTTCAACGTTGTGCAGAAAAAACACAAGACAGTAAACATGATCGTATTTCAACGAAAGCTACTTTTTCATTATACGAAGATGTGCGTTTTCTTTTTTTCCAGAGAATCGCAATGTTTTTTTCATTATTTGAGGTGAAAATTACTGCTTTTGAAATTCGTATCGCGCAAACTGTTTACTTAATTTCATTTTGCAAAGACATTGTTAAACGTTTTGATTACTCAAGAGTTTCTTCGTGGAGAACTAGACAAATAAATTACTTCTTCCAAATGTGGAAAGAGAATGATGAAAATAGAAACAAAATGAAGGATAGAAAAAACGGGAACTAAACAGAAAATTTATCAATTTTATTCCAATTTGTGAATCAAAATGATGAAGAAATTGTTGATATTCATGTTTATTCCAAAGTACTCAAGACAACAACAGCCAGACTAAACGCCGAAGAGATAATAGTCACATTTTAATTAAGTCAGTAGTACATTTGCCCTAACAGATTAATTGTGTATGATTCGTGAAATTGAAATATTCTCGATTTTGAATAATTACGCCGCTTTCTGGTGAATAATGTTTTATGGACGTGCTGTCCGTGGATTTATGGGAAAAAGTTCATGGAAAAATAGGGGAACTGTCTATTGGCCGCTGTATTTTTAGAAAAACAATTGTAACAAGTTGCGATTTTAAATAATGAACTGCTGAAACATTTCAAACACTTCAATACTTTGCGTTTGAGTTTCACAGAGCACGCATTGTTTACGTAAAAAAGTTCAATGGGAAGATTTAAAAGATTTAGCTTATCAAGAACAGTTATTTGCACACGACGAACGAGTGTGTCTAAATTGTGTATTTTGGCCTTTCGGCACACATTTTCGATTCAATTCCCACCATTTCTGGGAATAAGTAAAAATATCGGTCGAATAAATGTTCAAATAGTGATACCAAAACAAAAGTAGTTCTCTATTGGATTTTCGACAATTTTCTACAAGAAAAAACCAATGCACACACACGCTCGAACACGCGATTGAAGTGTGTCAAAGTTGAGCTAGTTGAATTTCGTAGAATTCCATTTGGAAAATCCATGTTTATTTGTTTAACTGTTGAGTCGGAATTTTTCCGTACCAGCAACAAAGTTTGATATCAAAGCGAACTACAGCATTTTTTTATCGTTCGCCCTCTTTCTGTTTAGTTGACATCAAATAATAAATAAGGCAGAAAAAGACGAAATAGTGAAATGGAAAAAAAACCAGCTTGAGCTTACAAATTGTCCGAAATATAACGTATTAACAATTACATTGTGAGCAGCAAGTGAGTTTTCGGTGCGTTTTCTGTTTGAATGGTTACATGGATGGTGCTTTTCAAACGGAATGGAATCGTGTTGAATTGCGAGAATCCGTTATAATGTTGGAATTTAACTTGAACGCGCATGCCTATCATAATACACGGAGAGAAAGAGATAGAGAGAGAGTGAACGTATTGGATGGCATGAAGCAAACCGAATGGCACTTTGTATTTGAATTAATAGAACATTGTTGGTGCTCTGCGAATGACGAACTGAAAACGGGAGAGTGAAAGAAAAAAAACCGTGTTGTTGTTGAGAATAAATGTGTGTGAATTTGGTTGCTGCATTTCGCCTATCTTCCTTTATGTCATCATCATCATCATCATCGTCGTCGTCGTTGTGCTGCTTTTCAACGAGAAAATAATCTCGATACAGCACAAAGCACCAGTGCACTACAAGATATTGTGTAGCAAATCGCTTGTTCCATCGTTGTTCGGTATTAAGAGCGAGATTTCGCTTTTTCCATTTTTTTTCATTCGTTCGTTCGTTCTTTCTTCACTTCTTACGCCTCGCCTCCGTCGTTCGCTTCAAGCAACTGTGTTCAACCGTCGCAACGGGTCCGGTTGCCCCATCAAACAGACGTAAAATTCTTCGATAACGGCACACACAACACACATACGCTGCTTACAACGACGCACAAATCGTTGAATCTCTGTTTATATTTTAATTGAAAATATTTTTGTAAAATGATCTTTTGATTTTGAATTGTTGAAATCAAACACATTTCCGGTTATTTCAAATCGGTGCTCGATTTTCAGTGCACTCATCCAATCATACCTTGACATCATGGAGATATCCGTGAGAACGTAAGTAGAAATTGATTATTTCATTCGTATTTTTTTCTATTTTTCTTCAGTTCGTTTTCATTTATGTGATTTTGAGTAGCGTTAAGATGGCAGTTTCATCAATTTCAATTAAGAAATAAAGGCGATAATGTTCATAGAGAGTGGCAAGCTTTTTTTGAGAAGCAGTTAAGAAATTAATTCACTCGAAATGGTTTGGATTTGACATGAGTAATGCGAGTCAGTGACACTTTGTTGTGAGCAAAAACAGCTTTTAACTATTTGAAATCTGGTCACTTGAATATTTAACCATTGTATATTCGCTTTGAAATGATTTCATTCCATTGAAGTCAAAATAGAAATCACAAAGCGAATGTGATTCGTTTTAATACCGAAAAATGTGTGTAAAAAAGACTGAATTGAGTGTCAATGTTATTATTTCTACAGGGAGGGTTCCTCGTATTTCTTTTCGAAAATAATTTGTTCCGTTTCTAGCAATTATCCGTTGAAGAAATTGTTGATTTTCACATCTATTTTGATATATTCGTTTAAATCATAGTGAGATTAACCTACGTACAATTCCACTGTAACACAATAGTTAGTCCAATGAAAAAAAAACCATCCCGAAATCCAGCAGATAAATGACTTGGCATTGGAATTAGTGTGTGTGTGTGTGTGTTGGTCTATTTTTGCCGCTCATCATCTCCGATCAGCTGCGTGTATTTAATAAATTATCGGATATGATTAATGAGTTTTGAGGGAGTTTAATGGGCGAAACAAGGCCACATAAAATCACATAAAACCAGCGCAGTTTGAGTTTCATTGCTATTTCATTGATGATAGACGAATTTTTCCCGTGCATTTTCCATGCTTTTTTCTTCTCGCTCTCTCTCTCTCTTTCTCTTTCGTCTGCTACCATCCACAAATCGATGATTTATATAAATGGGTTTGTTCATAAGAGCAGCAAATCACCGGATATGCGCACTTAATGGGTTATTTCTGTTTATAGATCGTGTGAGTGAATGCAACTAGCGCACGTTTGTTTCAGAACAGTTCTTGCAATTAATCTTCAATTCAAAATGCGCTCGGTTGCGATTACACGGAGAAAGAGCAGCAAAAATGGCGTAAAACAAACACAAATTGACATGGAGGCGAAAAACAATGGCGCATGATTTGTAACATGGATTCTTTGAAAATTTGCATCAAAATAGTAAAGTTTATTTTTTTGTTAAGAAGCATGCACTTTGAGGTCTTCCACAAATGTTCGTGCTTATATCTTTTTTTTCAACCAACACGAAGAAGAAGTAGATCATGTTGCAATTCTTCGCTGAAAAACAATTTGCAAATGCATTTCAACCACTTCATGCATACTTTTTTCGCTCTCTCTCTCTCTCTCTCTCTCTCACTCTATTCATTTCTAGGCTTTCAATCAAGTTAACAATTTTAGCATTTCTGTAAATTCCTCGGTTCTCGGTATGTTTTCAAGCGTTTCGATTTGGCGTATTGACAATGCGATAAAAGTACGCCAAAACGCTTTTTTCCCTCTCTCTCAGTTATGCAGATAATAATGCACTTTCTTGTGCTCATTTTCTCTTTTGTGAGCAACCCAAACTCGAATGCCACGAATCAGATATCATATGTGCATGTCAAAGTTAGCCCCCACCCCCACCATTCACATATGTGTATGCATGAAACAAGTAGCAAGTATGTGTGGCATTTCTCATATATTCCGTCATTCATTCTCGGTCGTTTTTTCTTCTCATTCTATCCCGAATCATTTTTCTTTTGCATGTTTTTCCGCATACGTACGCTTTTCCTTCTTGTTGTTGTGCGGTTGAACTTTTTGGCTGTAAGCAACATTCTGAATCTCCGACAGATACAACATGTTTCATTCGAATCTTATTACTAGATTAAGCGCCGAAAACTGAGAAGAAGAAACAAACCAAAAGCAGACTATGTCTTGGCTGGTCGGTTGGTTGGTTGGTTGGTTGGTGGAATGCTTGGATGTGTGCTCGAGTTTTGTGGAAGTGCGTTTCATCGATATGCCACTTGATTTATATTATTATGTCAATTTTCAGCGAGTGTGTGTGTGTGTGAATGTATATTGATATTTCATTTTTATTTGATATGTGTCCATTCAACTGAATTAACATGCATAAAAAAGTGGTGACCGGAAACGCAATGCGAACGAAGAAAACACACACGAAAGCCAAAGCACCCCGAAAATTGTGCAACGAACAAATTGACGATTGATACATTTATAATAAGACATAAGTTATTCATGCTATGGACTCAGTTTCACTACCAAAATATGTCATGCCTTTGAAATATGGATCAAGGGGAAGTGCGATCTACGAAGAATGCTTTTATGACTCAACAAAAACCCTTGAGAAAATTTATTGACTATGGTGACTAGATTTAAGTCGCTTAATCATTTTTCTCCATATAATTCATGAGTGACTGCTGAATGCATTACTCAATGGAGCAGCGGACTTGTCGGCA